ATCTGCTCTGTCCTGCTCTGCTCCGCAATGTGTGGAAGCTTAGTCCTGCTCTGCTCTGCTGAAATCTGTTCTGTTCTGCTCTGCCCAAAAGCTCAAAAGAATAGGGCCTAAGTGAGCAAACACTTTGTTGATTTTCGAATAGTGTATCATTACAAAGTATATAATTGTTAAAGTAGTCGATCGTATATTCGTATACCATGCAAACTAGCTAGTCAAAGTTCTACAACTACTGTAACGGATGAAACTAAACTTACAAAATATTAGGTATGTAGATCAAACTATATTCTTCTAATGGAAAGGAATTATATTAAATAGGTAACTTGGAAGGTACATACTAGTTCTTACAACGCATGTTACTCTAGCTAATTCAATTCAATTTGACACTTTCATAGTTTCATACTTTCATAGTATCTATTGCACTTTCAGAGAGTGAGGGGTAGCTCAAGTGGTTAGAGCTTCCCTCCCGATACCAAGATATTTTGGGATCGATTCTCACCCCCACCCTTGTGGCTTTCTAAACACCAAAATCTATTGCACTTTCAAATGTTATTAAAACTTAAATCACATACTTATACAAGCCACCTATATGTAAGCCTGTAGTATCGTACCCATTCATCCTATTAAGATTGTCTCATACTTTGCAATTCTCAATTTTTATTTTTTTTAAGAGATGGTTCAATTATTATTGAAAGTAAATTTGATCTTTTTTTTACAAAAAATTAAATAAATAAATGTAACATGAGTCTTTAAAAATTAAGCACAAAAAATTATATCATACTTAAAATACAACATATACTTAATTATTAGTACAATCAAAATTAGAATATGGGGCAATTTTACTAGAACAAAGTAGTATCATATTCGTTTAATGATGTGAATGTGTTAGGGCTGAGCAAAACTACCTGAAAATCCCGATCCGTAACCGTTCCAAAAATTAGGATACCCGATCCGATAACCATAACGCTTCGTGTACCCGTTCCGATAATTTGTTTTTGGGTATGGTTATTAGGTATCATTTTAAAATTAACGGTTACCCGATCTGATCCGCTAAGCAATTTTTAGTTTTTTTTCCTACTTAAATCTATCTTTCCAAACTTTAAACTCTTACTTTAGTTTATAACCACTTTATAATATCAAGGAAAATTTGCCAATTGCATCCATTTAAAGTTGTATTTTGTAAATTGCAGTCAATAAAAAAAAAATCCAAATTGTAGCAAAACGTTCTTATAAATTATAAATTGCAACTCAATTCAACTTTTTCATCGATTTTCATATCGAAAAAAATTGCAAATGACTGCTAAAATCTTAATCGAACATTTTTCGACAAACAAATCGATGAAAAAATTGAATTAGGTTGCAATTTACAATTTATAACAACTTTTGGGTTGTAATTTGCATTTTTTTTAAATAGCTGCAATTTGCAAATTTTCCAAATATCAATGATTAGTAATATTATTAATAATTAGGTCAAGATCATGGAGATTATTGTTAATTAGTGTTAAATGATATTATAATAACTACGATATTTAGTTTAATTATCAGTATTGGATATCTTAGGGCCTGTTCTCTTACGTTGAAATTCAGTTCAGTTCAGCTCCGTTCAGTTCAGTTCAGTTCAGTTCAGCTCCTAATTTCTTTATCTTATAAAATATTCATTTCAGTTCAGTTCAGTTCAGCTCAGTTCAGTTCAATTCAGCTGAGTTCAGTCAATGAGAGCATGCCCTTATTGTGTATCCGAAAATCCGAGTACCTCAAGTTCGGTTACCTGAACTTATTGGTTTGATTTATGAATATCAGTTTTAGTGATACTGGTTATTAATTAGCCGAATCATTAGTACTAACGGTATGAGTACCCATCCCATGCTCACCCCTAGAAATGTGTAACTTCACCAAACGATAACATTATTATAAAAGTACGAATATTGGACCACCTTTTAGTCGAATTTTATGTTGCTAATCTCATGATCTGGTAATTAATTATATTGGTGGCCTATTAGCTATAGCTAGCGATCACTACTAGCAGCTAACAAGTTTCTAAGCCGCTAAACATGCAATCCGTTAGGCCATTACATCGTGCTCTATATAAGCTGCCAAACTCATATTAATTTATTTCATAATAATGTACTTGTAGCATATTATCCTAATTCAAAAAAAAAAAAAAAAGACATATTATATCTCCGTTACAGGTTATGTGCAACGATTTGACATAAAGTATAGAGGAAAAAACCATATTACTATCTCTGTTATAGGTTATCTGTAACAGAGGTAGTATTAATTTATGTATACTATCTATGTAAAAATGTAGCAACAAAAATTCAACCTTTTACCATGATATGTGAAAGTTTTTGTTTTTCCTCTTCGGCCTGTTCACATTTACTAAAATGAGCTGAGCTGAACTGATTAGAGCTGAATTGAACTGAACTGAGCTGAAATGAATATTTTATAAGAGAGAAAAATTAGGAGCTGAACTGAACTTAACTGATTGGAGCTGAACTAAATTGAAATTAGGTAAATGTGAACATGCCCTTATTTGGCTAAATTAGGATAAAAAATCCAATATAATCATAGTTACATGTTACAACGTGTGCATGCTAATTACCTCTAGCATACCTCCTTTCTAACATGTCAATCACAACCAAAAGACTCTAGGATTTAGAAAATAGATTCCACAAATCCACCTTTACTTCTTAAAGTATAAGGATACTTAAGATAAGTTTTGGTATGGCTTAATAAAGGATACTCAAGTTTAATTTTCAGCTAAAATAAGCTCTAATAAGTAAATTTAATTAAATTTAGATCAATTCAAATGAGAGAAAGTGATACAATAACCATAATATCAAGCTAAATTGAAATGAAGCCAACCTAAGATACCAAAATATAATTTCATTAGCTAGATTGCCACACTACTCAATAGTACCGACTACCGAGTAAAAACAATGTCACACTACCAATTATCATACAATAAAAGTCTACTAAATTGCATAAAACTTCAAACTAGTCAAAATATGTCAATTATCGAATATATATATATATATGTATATAAAATATATCAATTATCGAATATATATATATATATATATATATATATATGGAAGACTTTGTATATTTATTTAAATTTTATATTTAATGGGAGGGAGAATTTCTTTAATTTGCTTTCCATCGATTAGGATTTAGGACCATTATATGCAGGCGTACTCTATTGATGAGTTGGGCTATTGGGGTCCATGAAGAATAAATCCTGTGGATCAATTGGGGCCCAGTCAACCTTCCCAAAATTCGCCCACAACAATATTTCTGGTAAACTTGCCTTTTTCATACTAAACTCTGACCAAATTTCCTAATATACCCTTCATATTATCCCTAATTTGCTTACTAATATAAAATATGGATTATGAAATGCCTTAATTAAATTGGGTTAATCTCCAAATTTCACATGTGATTGTTATTTTAGTAATTTAACAATTATTGGACCGACTTGTCATGTGTTAATGTACCTTTTATACACTGTTAAAATTATGTGTTAATTTTCCAAAATTAGCAAAAACATGGAGATCCTTCTAATAAAAATTGCTGTGTTTATTTGGTAATGAAACAATAATTCAATTGCAGATTTAACAAACAAACTTCTTGTTTCTCCTAGATTATTTGACATTAAATTAGATCACATACAAATGGATGCCGACTAAATTAATTGAATAAATTAATAAGAGTGACACTTAATAAATGAGATGAATATATAATTAGATCATTCAACAAAAATTATTACGAAATTGGAGTATAAGCGTACTTGTCCAGGAGGTTATATGCTAAGAATAAATCTCAACTTCAAAATTTGATACTTCATAGGGACATGGATAACTCAAATACATGAATTAAAGTAACATTCTCTCAAACGAAATATTCAAATATATATATCCTTGATCCTTCTCTACGTGTTTTGAGCATTATGTTGATCGAGCTTGAGTGAATATTGAAAAGGTAGATTGCGATAGAACATGAAAATATAAGTGAAAACTACATAATATATAGGCTATGACAACAAGAATAATTCAAAGAAAAACTTTTTTTCAAGTTATAAATCGATGTTCTTCACCTTGAAATGTCCAAATCTACAAACTTTGATAAAAAGAAGTCAAAGTAAAACAACCGTTGGTGCACATAATACTATCTATGAAGTATTTTTTAAAACAATTCTTATGATCGATATATGGTGATTGAAATGCCATGGGTGACAACTTTACGAGTAAATTGAATAATTTGAAAAAGGAAAGTGCACAACTTTTACCGTCTTATGATACCAAGACCTTATCATACTAGTATTTGATACTTAAAAATGTGTACCATCATACAAATTAAAGCAAACTATCTGAAATTCTCAATTTCTCACACTTGGAAACCAAACAGAGTAATAGAATCTTGGTTGCACAAAATGGTGCGAAATTAGAATTTTTAAAGTCAAAAAGCGTGATTCAATTATATGAAGCCCATTTGAGAAATAATGGGCAAACTTAGCTTAAAAGGGACTAGTGGACCGACCTCGATCACTTGTCATATTCTTTGCCTAACTTTGAAAAATAAAAATTAGACTTTAATATATATAAATATAATTATAATGATTAATACTCATAATACGTATATAAATAAATTCTCCAAAGTTATTGCCAATTTGACAATGTTTACAAGTAATAAGACATACCTCCTAAGCGCCAACAAAATACGAATTCATTACGCTATCCTTATCTTCATATCTTCCATGCTTCTATTGTCTTTTTTCTATGGAATTTTGACATTGATCTAACATTGCATTCTTGTTGAAATGTATTTTCATTTGATTTTGACAATCGAGTATTGATATTTTTATGTAAACAAAATATCTCCTTTTCCCATCATTTTGTTTTTCTAATTATACAATATTTAATAGAGTAACAAGAAAAGCGACAACAAGAAGAATACAAATAGACATTAAATATATGTGGATATTTATTGATTAGCTTGAAAAGCTAATAAGATGTCGTGATATAATATATATGTACATTTGTAACAATTAGCTATTACGGAGTACCTCTTTTTAAACCTAGAAGAAAATAAGCTAGAAAGTACATATCTTTAATTAATTTCCCTATCTTGCATTATTGTTAATTCCATGAATATACAATTTTACATGGCATAACATAAGTGTTTACATAATAATCTGTTGTTGTTTATTTTTCTTTTTGAATTTTTGGGCATAAATCTTGAAGCATTAAAGATCAAAGAAAAGAGCACATGAAATAAGCCTTAAGTAATGAGAAAAATAAAAAATACGAGTACTACTTATACATAGTGTGTTTTTATACTTAATCAATTATGGATTAAATGGATATGATTAAAATCATAGTAATATTGAGAAAGCCACTTATTGATGTAGCCAATCTCCGTTTTCCTTACTTCTTTCAACCAATTTGGATCTTCCTTCGTCGAGAATCTCAAGTCCACGTGATGGGCACCTAATTTTATTATAAGAATACAAAATAATTAATTAAATGATTACAATATAATTAGCATGTATCGCTAGCCTCGAATCTTAACCATAAGTGTAACTTATAAAGTGATGCATGTTATGTACTCATAGGGTGTTTCAATTCACCTTATGAGAACTTATTGAAATTTAACTGAACTTAGGGCCTGTTCTCATTGACTGAAATTAGCTAAATTGAACTGAACTGAACTGAACTTATTAATTAGTGATTTTTAACTACGGATTAGTGATCTTTGATTATTTATTATTATACATATGTGTATATACAAATATACATATTAAAATATTTAAGAAAAATATACTATTATTATTATTATTATTTATTGATTATTATTATTATTATTATTATTATTATTTATTGATTATTATTATTATTATTATTATTATATTATTATTATTTATAGATTATTATTATTATTATTATTTAATTATCATTATTATTATTATTTTTATTATTTAATTATCATCATCATCATTATTATTATTATTATTATTACTATTATATCTCAAAAACAAAAGTCATACAACCTACAATAAATTAGTGGGAAGCCGAGATACAATCTGGGCCCCCACTCCTCTAGCTATAGCAAATCCTATCCTAGTGAAGATATGAGCTGCAGCACGAGCCCCAATGCTTGCGTCGTCGAGAACCTTTGAATCCGCTTTAGTAACGCAACAACCTCCTTCTCTAATTCCCCAAGCGAAGAAAAGGAGAAGGGAATGAAACCATATCCAATCGTCTGACATCGAGCTTCATACTTAACCCGCTTCCGATGAGCAGCATCAGCCACAACCCACCCAGGAATAAAGTCAGATAGCCCTGACTGTGTCAAAGGAGAAGACCCTGTCAAATCAACACAGACATCGCGACCACGATCCCATGAATAAAGTAACACATCCGTAGGTCTGAGGGCCTCGTCGTTCCCTCCAGCCAACCCAATGTCAACCTCCTTTCTCACTGAAATCCCAGAACGATAACAAACATCAACAAGGGTATCCCGAACAACATTATGCCGATGTTTAATACCCACAATACCAGCACAAGACACCGCGTGATCACCGAAAATATCTCCAGCAAAAACCCTCGAACAAGCAGAGCACGACGTCGAGACAGAGAACAATGGAACACCCAACCGATAGGACAACACACATCGATAAGTCTTAGCGTTCATCGTCTGACCCAACCCCGAAATAAAAACCGCTCGAAGCCAAGCTGAGGTGTGATCACCCTGCTGTGATTTCCATAATGCTGATTGTCGAGGAGTTAAAGAATAAGCAGATTCTGCAGAAGCGGTAATCTTTGTGAAATACATATCTGCCAATTTCTTCATGAGTTTAGGGGCAGCGACCTCACTAGGATTACTCAAAATGTCATACTCCACTGTTCCATTAAACAAACACAACGCATCCTCAAAGGCTCGTCCAAGACCAACAATGCCAGCAACAATGCCAGCAACAACGCATCCATTATTATTATTATTATTATTATTATTATTATTATTATTATTATTATTATTATTATTATTATTATTATTATCGTCGTTGTAATAAGAGCTTAAAAGAATGAAATTTGGCTTTATATCATTAGCAATATCATTACACATGAGCTGAACTGAACTGAATTTCAACGTATGAGAACAGACCCTTATTTAGTTGTAATTTGAATTTAGATAATTTTTATCATATCTTAATTTAACTAAGTGAAAATAAGGTGAACGGCCGTGCTAAAATTTTGTAACAAAATCACATGTCGATTAGTGTTATTAATAATTACGGTAATACTTTTGATTTTTATTATTTATCACGGAATACATATTATACATTTATGCGTAACATTAGGAGTTGTACTTGCTTGCTATGTGTTTCATGGTACTGCTAAGTGCTAATGCACAAGTTAATCATAATAATTTAATATATTTATATATGCAATTAAGTATTAAACTATTATTGATATTTGTATTGAAAAATTGATATTTGTATTGAAAAATTGATATTTGTAAAATGCACATGAAGAATGACTATATTAGTTCTTATTATTGCCCCATTTAACTTTTCACGGTCTTCAAGCCGTGTTTTAAAACGAATATATCTCCATTTTCATTCACGTAAAAATGAAACTTGATATAAAAAATATACAGACGAACACATCAAGATCACACATGATTATATTAGTTCTTATAGATCAATGACAATTGATGGTCAACGTTTTAAAAGTTTGACCCAAATAATAGCAATGGAGCAAAAAATTAGGGACGGATGGAGTATTGCACAATAACATTCAATTATTAATTTATTATAATATGTAGTCCTTTTGTCACATTCACATCTTAATTTTTTTTTAAAAGAAAAACAAGGCCAATTCATAACCCTTTTTAGTACTATGTATAACCAAAGTCCTTTTAATTTTCTTGTTTATATTTAATATTACGCACGGATTATAAAACATAAGTGATCTGAATTGGTCACGTCCCTTCACTTTATACAATTTCCATTTTAAAGAGCTAAAAGTCAACAAATTTACATCAAATTTAAATTTAAAAACATATTAAAATGGTTTAATGGTAATTAAGATGAAGTTACCAACCTTCTTTTGCAATAATGGCTACCAAACTGTTTGAGATACTCTTCAAAACTCTGCAATGACACAGAGAGACGTTAGAAATGGGATTATTATGTTTGGAGCAGAGAAGTAAATTTTAGTATTGGTGGAGTTGAGTGTTGGTTATTAAAAGGTATGTTTTAAGGTTGCTCCAATTTCAACCATTGAATCAAGAGTAGTAATAATTCTCTTCATTAGATGAAGAGTAAAATAGACATTTAAGATTCAAATTTTTATTAATGTGTATTGATACGTAAATACGTTAGACAGCTAGACCTGGTATTCTGGTAAGCCCGACTCATATTATGATAGAATAGTGTTAATTCTTTCTTTGTTTCTTTGAAATGCAACACAACTTTAAAACGTTTATATTTAGGAGTTGATAAGAGTAACATAGGTAAACAAGCAACTTTATCAAAATAATTTTAGCATCAGGAATAGAGAAGGGTTAGATATCATGTGTATAAATTATACGGAGTATTGATTAATTTGTCCATTTACAATACCTACGAAGTAATATTTTTCATAATGTACTTGTCATGAAAGTGTGTTACAAATAAAATAAAAAGGAATAAGTATTAGAAATTGGTTTATGAGACCTCTCTCTTCATATTTCTGGAGTCCAAAATTAAATTAAATTTACAATTAGGAGAAAAGTTGTATTTTATTAAACGTAGTACTTACCAATCTATACCAAAATTACCAATGTATTTAAAATATATTTCTAAATAGATATAGCCCATATAGGTGTCATGTGACACACTCTCAGTCTCTCACTCGTCTATACATACTTGCTCACTAAGGGTTTGTTCACATTTACTGAGTTAAGTTGAGCTGAGTTGAACCGAATTGATTGGAGCTGAACTGAACTGAATATTTTATGAGAGAAGTAAATTAAGAGCTGAACTAATTGAAGCTGAACTAAAATTAAGCTAAATTGAATAGGCCTTAAAGGCTTAAATGCGATTACATTTAGATAAGATAAGTTAAAATAAATTATGATAAATATAATCTTTTGAACTCGAGTTTATAATATTTGTTGTTGTGGCTGAGGATTTTTATGGAGACTTGTAAGCATAAAGAATTTATTATCTTAAAAATGAATATAAAAGGTTGTGCTACAAATAATCCAGGTTATGTTATTAATTAGAGGTTGAAGTTTTATACTTGGCTCCCTGTAATTTTTTATTCAAGATTCACTATTCTCTTAAAAATTAAATTTTAACAACTGAAAATATATTGAGTCCGAGGCAACACTCGATTTAAAAACAAATTAATTTTATTAATAAGGTTAACTGAAGATGGAACTAATAAAGCTAGATATTTCAGAATGTCAAGAATAAGATGAAGTGTATGAGTAATGAGTAATGAGTAATGATAGAGCGAAAAAAGGGACGTACCCTCCACCACTCCATGGGTCTCTGATGCCATTAAAAAACAGGATGTTGCTGCCGTACCTTCTTAACACCCTGTGTATATCCTGTTTCCAATAATGTTTTCATTCATTCGTTCATTATTATTATTATTAAAATGTTATACGGAGTACTTGTATATCATATAGCATACTAATAATGACAAATTTTATATAGTCATAATAATGACTTATAAATAGAGGTGACGACGTATAAGGACCTGGTGTATAACAATGTTAAATAGATCACTTTTTAAATTTTGGAAATTCAATTATAAATTCCTCCATATTATAGTTAATGATACCGTACAAGGTTGCATACATTTGTATGGTGCATGTCTGAAACTTTGTTTAGAGACGGACTATACATATTGTTTCGGGGTTTTTTGATGTGTCCTGCGGGAGAGTTACAATTCCAAGAATGCCCTTCGACGCCTGTGCCTGCAAAATCACGAAGACTCCTGGGGGTAGGAGCTCCGCCTCCGACGATCAAGTTAGTAAAGATATGGGAGGTAGAATGCACGTAATGTAGAAGTTACTTCTCGCGTAATGGGAGAATTCTGCAATTAATATTGCTCGGGGTAAGTGTTTTTCTTTTTGAGGAGTATTCAATGTGAACCACAAATGTTCCAACCCCCATTAATGAGGGTCCTTCCACTATTTATAGTGGGGAAGGGATGGTTCCCCTTTTAGGGTTTAGAGGACACGTGTCAGCAGAGGATTGGAGCCCTGCTGACCAACGGCTGGATGCCACGTGTCACTAGGCCATTGGGCCACGTGTTTAGGGTATTTTTACCCCAAATATTTGCCCCTCACTGGTGCTGACGTGGCAGGGTGCCACGTGGCGCCGGTGAAAGTTTTTTTTTTTTTTTTTTTTTTTTTTTTTCAACTCTTCAGATTCCTTTTGAAGGATGGAAAAGCAGAAGGCGAAGAGTCACGACTTTTCACCTTCTGGGACAAATTCTATAAATAGGAGAAGATGTCCCTCGAGCTCTCATTTACAAACTTTGCCAAATTTCTGAAGATTTGAGAGCAGCCGGCAATTTGAGAGTTGAGAGCATTCGGAGTTGAGATTCGTTGAGAGCAACCGGTCTACAGACCGTCTGGGTCGTTGCAAGCTAGCCAAAGGTTTTCGAGAGGGTAATCAGAGAAACCCAGCCGGATTTTGAACCGCCTGCGTCTTCGTAAGCATCCCAGAGAATTTCCAGATTTTCTACTAGGTACCGTCTCTATTCTTTCTAGCTTTTTCATGTATTTCCGTTTGAGTCTTTTACTCGCATTTTTGTTCATTGGTCCCATAAGTAGATGGACCCCTTATACCCATACCCGGAACCTAGCTGTGAACTCAGCCGGTTTATTAGTACGGCTGAGTCTAGAACTGGGTCTGCCGCCTCTGTTCTTTGGGACAACCCTTTTTCAACACCCATATCGACCGACTCTGTGTCTGTGCAGGACACAATGGCCAGAATCCGGTGTACTGCCAGAGATCCCAACTACAGAAGTGGGAGCTCAGATGAGCAGCCGCCTGAGGTCCCAGCTTCAGGCGGTGAAGTAGAGCATGGAGAGGTAGAGCAGAGAGGCTCACCCGGGGGCGCTCCTAGCACCCCGGGTGATAGCATTTTAAACGAAGAGAGTGCTCCCCTCCAGGAGACCAGAGACCAGGTAGGCTCTGATAAGGAGGTCTCCAACTCCCCAGCCGGCTCTGATGCCGGTCACGTTCAAAGTAGCAGTAGCAGCTACTTAACCGAATCTGAGGATAGCGAGGAGGCGGAGAGGCCTTCTTGGGATAATAGGAACGATCCTCTCATGATCGCCGTCTCCTCCAAGGACCGCAAGCTCATGCGGGCTGCGCTGCCAGATTTTATCAAACGGCGGCCGCTGGGTGGTGACTATACAATAAAAGTCCCGGCTGCTCTGGGAACAATATGGTGGGAGGATGGACAACCGAAAGCGAACGCTTGGTTCGGGTGCTACGAGGCGGCCTTCGTGGCCGGAGTGCGCTTCCCTCTCCACGACACAATAAAAGCCATACTTAGGGGGTATGGCCTAGGTCTCTGGCAATTAACCCCCAACTCATGGGTAAATATTTTAGGGTATATCGCCGCCTGCGAGATGCAGGGCCTCAACCCCGGCTGGGAGGCGTTTGCCCACATGCATTACTTGAGTAGGAGCCCAGGCGGCTGGAGAGCCTGGTATACCTTGACCACCCAGCCCAAATACCTTATGACCTTGGACAAGCCATCCAAATGGTCGGACTGGAAGCACCGGTTCTACTTGGTTAAGGCCCCAACTACGGTAGAGAACAGAGAATTCCGGATCTACAACCGGAAACCAGAACTCTTGGGGACCAAGTGCTGCCTGCCCCCTGTCCCGGAGGATGATAGAGAGACCATCCTTGACTCCGGGTTTTTTGAGTTAGTTCCTGACACCCTCTCATCCGGAGAGATAGTAAGGGTACCTAGAAACTGGGTGCCCAAACATGAATTTTTTAGGGACGAATGCTTCTTGTCCGCTTGTGGCCTAAGCAGCATGTTTAAAAAACGTATGTATTCGGAACTCAGTCGGTTTCTTTCGAACCGGATGCTTTTATTTCCTTGCTTATTTATTATTCTAACCGTGTGCCTTCCTCTGCAGAAGAAGCCAAGAAAATGCTGCCCACTGAGAAGACACCGGCTAGGTCGGCTGCCGACATCCGGAAAGCCAATCTCGAGAAAAAACTTGCTGCCTAGGCGGCGAAGAAGGTATAACCGTCTGATCCTTCTCGTTTATTTCAATCCTTTTATCCCATAACTTATATTTTTCTCGTTTATAGGACGGGAAGCAGATGCCCCGGTCCCTTCAAAAACAGGTCAGGCCTCCGCCGACCCAACAAGAGTCTGCATCCAAGGTGCAGAAGACAGCCGACCGGCAAACTACCGGCGGCAAATCAATAAGGGTCCCAGACGGGCCTGGATCTGCGGATGTGCTTTCTGCCATCCCATTGAGGACCGCAACCGGTCCCTCTGAAGGTCGTTCGGGTCGCCAAGGTAACTTCGACCTTACACTGCTTGATCTGCCCATGCGGGTCAAGTCTTATTCACAGTCTCGATCGCAGCCGGGGGATTCTCCAATCAGCCGGCAATCTATAGGCAGAGCATATGCGAGTTTCTCACCGTCTGTTTCTGGTGCAGATAATTCTCCCCGCTGGCCGGACGGGGCACAATATGCCCGGGCCATGCTGAAAGCCGTCCCCAGGGACGAGAAGGAGGCGATCCCTGGGATCAACTCCTTTAATGCCGACCGGGTGCTGGTCGACCTGGCTGACGTATGCTCCAACAACCATGCGGTAATTTTCTTGACGTGCATTTTTAAATATGCAATATTAACCGGCTGTATTTTTGCAGGCTATGCTGCGCGTAGAGGGGCTCAAACGAGCTTATACCCGCAAGTCTGAGGAGGTAAGGAGAAGCAAACGGGCTGTTGATGACGCCCATAATGTTGCTGACTACTCTTTGTACATGCATGGCTTAGAATCTAAATCTATACGCATGGAACAGGCGGAGAAGACCAAAGCCCTCCAACAGCAGATTGATCAGCTGAAAAACCAAGTTGACCAACTGCAGACGTCCCTGGATGATGCTTATAAAAAGTTGGAGGAACAGACAGAGCCCCTCCAACGGCTGAGCAAGGCGGAGACTGAAAATGGCCGCCTTGCCAAAGAGAATGAGCGCCTGCGCAAAGAGGCGGCTGCTGCCAATGAGAACTTCAAGGCCACCTTGGAGTCGGAGCAGGAGAGGCTCATTGAAGAGAATGAGCATGACTGTGCAAACCGGATGCAACGGGCGTTTTCCCTCATCCACCCGGAGGCGGACTTCACCGTCTGGGAACTCGCCTTCAAATATTCTGATCTTGCCATTCTGGCCGAGGAGGCGAATGAGCCGGGGCCCGGACCCTATGACGCTTGGGTTAGGGAGGAGATTGCGCGACGGCAGGCGGAGGCTGCTGAAGAGGAAGAAGTCGTTCCTGAAGCCGACGCAGCCGCTCACCCTGATCCAACCCAGAACCAACCGAAATAGGACCGGCTCACTGTTCGCCTGGAGTAGCAACTACTTCCCGGCCTCCGTGCCTAGCATTATCTTGTAATAGCGCCGGATGAGATGGGCTAAGCTGTAATAATTTTTATTTTGAATATAAACATTTTCACCGGCTGAGCCGGCTTTTGAATGCTTTTTATGTTTCTGCACTTCAATATTAGAATTCTTGTTATTTTTTATACATATTTCTGCGAGGATAACCAAAAGAACCCCGCCGGTAACACTACCGCTTGGGTCTGCGCAAACAGCAAAGAAATTTGCAAAGGTTGCCAAGAAGACCCCACCGGTAACACCGTCGTCTGGGTCTTCGCAAACTAGGCGAAGAAATTTGCAAGGGTTGCCAAGAAGACCCCACCGGTAACACTGCCGTCTGTGTCTTCGCAAACTAGGCGAAGAAATTTGCAAGGGTTGCCAAGAAGACCCCACCGGTAACACTGCCGTCTGGGTCTTCGCAAACTAGGCGAAGAAATTTGCAAGGGTTGCCAAGAAGACCCCACCGGTAACACTTCCGTCTGGGTCTTCGCAAACTAGGCGAAGAAATTTGCAAGGGTTGCCAAGAAGACCCCACCGGTAACACTGCCGTCTGGGTCTTCGCAAACTAGGCGAAGAAATTTCGACCCAAAACCAAACCGGATGGCGTCTGGGTAATTGCCCCTGGATAGCGGTCTGGGTCTTTGCAAGCCAGGCGACTATCCATATGATATAGCTCGAATATGCACTAAGTGCCAACATTAGATTCAGGAGCCAGTCGGTTTATACTGAATTACCGGTCGGGACTTCGCAAACTAATCACGCCAGATTAGGATGTCCATTCACCGGTTGGGCTTTTGCAAGCATACCCCTGAATGAATTATGGCCTAGACTAAATGTTTAGGCCTGCTCTTACAGAGTCAGGCGGCGGTATTGAGTACCGGCTGTCCTTCCAAAAAGTGAGCCGGCTGCAAGTTTGGGGTTGCTAGCCTGCCCTTTTTTGGTGCGAAGGATCGTCAGGCGGAT